ATGATTACATCTGTAGGAGATTCTCAAATCATTATTGTTATTCCTGCCTGTCCTCTGTTTGCCAAAGTCTATCTGTGAGTCAAAGCATTGAACATGGTGGTGTCTAGAGGGAAGAAAGTGTGGTGGTGTGGTATTATGTAGGTCTGTTGCTAATAATTTGAATGCTGACTCGTTCAGCTTTTTGCTGTTTTTCGTAACAGTGTATTCAAGCCCACCTTCAGTCCTTGTTGCTCTTTCTGTGCTATCCTCAATTCGTCACCACCTTTTGAATAATGAGGCCTTGAATTATGGATACATGATTGTACCAGGCTCTTTATAGTCCTCTCCCTACCACTTAGGGTACATTTGATTTGTAATGTGTGAAGTTAGCTTTGTTAACATGGTTTTCTAGGTAGGGCCCCTACCTAGGGGCTATGATTTTCCTGCTCTGAGATCATGTTCCTTGCCTTTTTGACCTGGGGTTGCACTAGCTATTTTGGCTTTTTATTGAATCCCAGATTAATTTTTCATTTGCTGGGGTTTCTTTTAACTTTACTGGATTTTTTCCCAATGTTTCTAACTTGCTTTTGGAATTTTTTTGAAAATGTTGTTCAGCTTTTAAACACTTTCTGTCTACTACTTCGTTTTTCATTTTACCTACTTTTGAACTAGTACTGTATTACATTTCCTGTTTATATACTTGCATAGAACCTCTCTTAAGCTCTTTAAAAGTATTAGGAAAGTCTTAACATTTTTGTTTTGGCTTTCCTATGTTTCATTGACCATCTAAATTTCCCATGCGAGCTGCATTGATTCTTTGGATTTTAGGTGCAGCCTGCTGAAAGCCCTGGTTCTCCAAAGAATGCCTTGTGGAGTTATATTTTCTCTTTTTTTTTCTGAATTAAAGCTTGTTCAGAGCAAAATCTTTAATGTGATCTTTTGTCTTGTACCTTCCAGTCTCTGTGATGCTTCCAACTACTTCTTGCTGTTACAATGTCAAAATTAAATCTTGCTTCTTAGTAAGAAAGAATGAATTTCACACTTCTTAAAAGAAATTAAGATGATCAGCTGATTGCTCCCCAATATCACATCACTAGAGGTAAACTCCAATTGTTTCTAGACCGTATGCATATACAGTCTTCGTAGTACCTGGTCGAATGATTTGGACTGGCTTATTGCTTTACAAGCAGGGATGTCCCTGGCAGAGAGTACTGTGAAAATGGGAGCAGAATTAGTTCAGGAGCATTGCATTCCTTGCACTGAGCCGCTCTTTTCTGTCTCTAAAGAGAAGAAGGAACTTCTCTTATAGAGATGTTCCTGTTCTTTGATCCCTGGCTGGAGCATCTCTGCACTCTGGTGTGCGGACCGTTTTAAATGACTAGGATAGTGGAATCTCTATACAACGAGTGTATGAGGGTCCCTGTCTGCCATGTAGGATGTTTTCTTCAATGCGTGTTAGACAGAGCCCAGCCAGGTTTACTGGGCTCAGAAACTGGACCCTTGTTTAGAGTTACGGAAAAGCAGGAAAATGTTAGTATCTCTGGGGACTGGTAGGGCTTTGAATATGGAAGCGTTATGATCCACAGGTAAACTTCCCGCATTTTCCTATCTTTGTAATTTCACTGATGTTCTGTGGCTATATTGGAGAATATGAAATGATAGCTATTAGACTGAAAGATTCTGTCTTTCTTTTAGAAAAAGGTGATAGAAAAATTAGGCTAATAATCATTCACATACAAGAAATATTAATGGAGTTTCTGAAAGATCCCCAAATGTGTTTAGAGATAGCTCCACAATGTGATTCTATGAAAGATAAGACTTTTGTGACAAAACATTCAAAAAAGAAGTCTATACATTTCCCATGGTATTTGAACTGGCAAAGGCAATAGAAACTGTGGCGTCAGGATGCCCCATTCATTGCTGCCTGAGAAGCAGATCTCATGATTGTTTTGTATTCTCTGTGCATTTTCTTCTGATCTAGTATCTAATTGATAATCTAATTCATATCTCCAGAATTTCACAGTGTTGTAGTAAATAAGCAGCTTAATGTGTGACGATTGCATGTTTTATTTAGGACAGTATAAAACTTATTTTGTTCTTGTTGACAACTGTTATAAAGATGTATATTTTTGATTTGCCCGAAGTCTGAATATTTATAGGTGATTAAAATAAAGAGGTTGTTTAGCAGGTGCTGACTGCAATTTTGTAGTTACAGTATTGTAATCATTTCATGAGGCTTCTCTGTTGAGGAAATTATCTTTGTTTAATGCTAAAGGATGTAGGTAATCTGTCTCTAATGCCAAATTATTTCAGGGTGTGCACTTCACTTTTTCCCCTACATTTACGTAGATCGGAAAACTGAATGTTCCAAACAACTTGTGGAACAGTTTCCATATCAATTTTTATGTGCTAAAAATGTAATGAAGATTGTTCAACCCAAAACATTAAAAAACCCTCGAATTTAATTTATATGGCATTTTTGAAAGAAGTATTGTTTCTTATTTAACTGGTTCTATTAGCACGGTGAATTCGAGTTTACCCTGGTAAGTCAGTAGCAAGCCACTATCACCTATTTAAATGTAAGTAGCTGGATCCATGAGGAAATACTGAATTCGAAGAGGTGTCTATTCACAAACAGTACTTTTATGCCTTTTGAGTGAATTAATGGTAACCAGTTTGTTAACATAAACAATGGAATCCCATTAACTGCTAAGGTAAATAGCATTAGATGTAAACATCTTTTTTACATTGCTACATGACTTGATTTCTTCTGCTTATGGAAATGCTTCAGAACTTTTTAGCATTTCCTCTTTTGTGTAAATGGCTTATGACTCTATTATACCTCATCTTTTCCTTGCTGCGTCAGCTTTGCATCCTTATCCCTTGTGCATCGGCCTGTGTTCTTCCTTTTTCTATTTATCACTGACGCTTCTGGAGTGGTGACATTCTTATTCCCTTTTCTGGACTTATTTTAAAAGCTAGAGGAGGAGTTTCTAAAGAGAGAATATGCCTACTATTACTCCTGACAATTCCTTACAGTTCTTTCTTTTCCCTGCAAGATGGCTGGTGTGTTTTGATAAAAATTAGTATTGTTGTCTTGGTGCTGGTCAAACATGCCCAAGAGAGATGATTCAAGTGTGTGGTTGTGGAGCAGGGAATGGTGGAAGGGATTTGGTAAGCATCTGATGATGCTATTATTTCAGACTAGCTTCTTGAAAGTCATCAGTTAAAACACTTGCTTTGATTTTGAAGTTACTAAACTTGGAAACAAACCAAACAATGGGAATAGGTTTACAGGTATTTTTTTATTGCATCTAGTCTTCTCTTCCCCAATGCTTATTTTTATTTAAAAAATGAAAATAGCTGTTTTATTTTCTGGCTGTAAGAAAAAGGTCTCCTACAACCACTATTTTTCTTATACTTGGGAAACCATACAACTAGTCTAGCTGTTACTTTCCCCGCCCTCTCTCTCCCCTCCCTGTCCTTTAATGTAGTGGATTGATACAGCATACAGAAGTGTTTCCTTCGGCTACCTCATTGAAGGGCATACATTGGATCGCAGGTGATATCAAAATAGATTTGGCTTTAAAAAGAATGAGGTTTGATTCTGTGATACGCTTATTGTCCTGAAGCATCTGGGGCAGTTTGGGGAAGATATGCAACAGCAGATATTTTGCATGTAAAGCTTTTAGTTTAAGTGGTGAATAACCTTGGGCTGGGGATATCTGAAGGACTACTGGTGACCTATATCCTGTTGTGACAGCTGAGAGCAGCAGGTTGGAACTGCTGGATAAAATCCATACCCAGTTGCCCACTGTACTTTCTTCTTGTCACTACACAATGTCAAATCAAAGACACTTTTTTCCTTCTTTTTTTATTTTTTTAAACTGTTGCTTATTCTAGCTGTTCACTAATTTGAAGAGAAGATAGCCTTGCTGCCATGGTAATACAATGGGAAAAGTAACTGAAATCAGTGGCAGACTCTGACCAGTGTGGGTATCCACCCTCCATAACTAGGCTGAGGTAGAGTACAACTTCCAAATATAATAAAGTGATGCTTTTCTTTCTCATTAGCCATTTTGTAGCCTGCCGATTTTGTTAGATCTCTGTATTAAGTTGTAAATAGTGTGTGAAATAAAACACTTCTTCTCATTTGATGGATATGGTCCTCATGATTTCAAATGCTCTTCAGATTGCTGTGGTATGCTTTGTTTAGACCAGACGTGGAAGTCTACCTAATGCATAATTCTCAGTTTAGAAAGGAGATAGAAAGAAAACCAGTAGGAACTAATAATTGGTTTTTTCTTTTAATGTTCAGGATGTGTGTGCATATGTTGGTCTGCCTGTTGTCTTATTTAAAAAAAAAAGTTTTCTTTTAAAAATAATGTTCCTAATTTATATTTTCTGATGATATTTTTCTGAGTAGATATCTGGGTGGTGGTACTGGGAGTTCCTCGATAGCCAGTATTAATTCCCACCCCTCTCTCCCAATTAAGAAAACAAAAATTAGAGACTTAAAAGTTATGTATGACTTGTCAACAGCATGTTGGCAGTCAAGGCAGGAATTCATTAATTCTTGACTCTAAGCTTGAGATCCAGCTTCTCGTGATATGGTCTCTCTGTTTAAAAGATCTGTTCTTAGTTTGTGTATCCTTATTGCATAACTTTTACTAAATGAATGTATGTATTAGATGAATGCTTAAAAAAAAAATATATTCCAAAATGTGTTCTTTGTCTAAAATAGTAGTATGAATTTTAGTCTGTCATGTTTCATAGTGGCACTTTGGTATGATAATGTCATTCTACTCTTTGAGAATTTATAGTGTCAAGTGGGATAGGGCTTTGGGATCCCTGTGTGCCTCTGAAGTGAAAGAATGGAAACTCTGCAGCTTAAAGTCATTTAGGAATCAGGCCTGTGTAGTGATTTTGGTACATAAGTATGAACCATGACTCAAAAGCTACTAAAACAGCAGTGTCTACCTATTCGCTATTTGTTTTACCAATGTATTTTTAACTCCCAGCATAATGCTCGTAATGACCCAGATTCTGTCATTGGTCTCTATGCTAGAGCCCTTTTCAAGACAGAAAATGAGAATATCCCCAACACATTATCCTATCGGCCAAGGGAAGTTGGAGTGCAATGCAACTTTGAAAGTGCCCTGTATGCACGTGATAGTAGCAATACTGTTTGGACGACCTGCACCATTTTCCAGCCATCTAGAAGCAATACCTGTAGCCAGGTGTTGTTTAACCAGGCAGGCAGCCAAAGACCACGCAGCCACTCACTCACTGCCCCCGACGGGGGGGCGGGGG